TTATGGTACTTGAGATATCAAGGCATTAGTAAGTCAAAGACAATTTTGTAATACTCTTTTGCAAACTTTAGAGACTGTGATAAAACGACATAATTGTGATACATGAGGAAGGCACAAGACTCCTACTGGCATTATTTTCACCTTCAATAAAGATTACACGATGAGAACAATTTTTTTTGAAGGCACTACATCCTCTTCTTTGTCTTTTAGAAATTCTCGCATTCTTTTTATTCATCTTTCTGAATTTCTGGATTTCCTGGAGCATCAGTGCTAGTAGGAGATTAATGCCTTTGTAGAATTGCCCTTATAGCTGTAATTATTGCAGCTTGGGGTTGCAAGCTCTACAGCAACACAATTTAGAAATTGTCAAAACTAACTCGCTGAATTTTGACAAAGTTCAAAAAATATATTTTTTGCTTTGATATGTAAACAGGGTGTCCCCAAATAATGTGCCTACTGTTTGATTGTTAATAACTCTCTTTCGATTAATTCTTTCGGAAGCTTTAGGTATTATTTTGTAGAGCTGCCTTTTTGCATTATGGAGCGAATTCGTTCTCTTTTCATTACTGTGAGACCGCGGTAGGAACTTTGAAGAGTGTTTTGCGTCATTGAGGGCTATATCTTATTCCTAAAAAAGGACTACAATAGCTGAGAATTCTTACATTAGGTTTGGGTCGCTGGTTATGAAACTCGCACTTTACCAGAACGTTTTTTTATATTGCCAGATGTACATACCGTAACAACCAATTTCTGATATTCGTCAAAATTTCGATCAACATTCAGAAAGCTCTGCAAAGACGCAAAAAGTTGATTGAAATCAGCATGCATGAAAACCGTGTTACACAAAATTTTTTGCTTTAAAAAAAATTTCCGAACAGCCTATCTCACAGTGGCACCATAGGCTGCGGGTTCCTACGGTTATCCTACAGTGATGAAGATAAATCGGTAATTCGCTTCATACTGTAAATTTAAGTTGAAGCCAGCTCCATAAAACGGTACCTAAGCCTTCCCGAAAGGTTTATACAAAGAGTTATTGATAATGAAACAGAGGGCACATTTGTT